CAAGCTATGATATCACAGAATGAGACCAGCAGAAAATCCATTCCAGCCAAATGCAAAGCAGGAGCTACACAGTTTAGGGAAGAACAGGACAAACCCATCCACTATCTCAGACTGCAGGTACTTCGATCAGCTCCAAGAAGTTACCACTTATGATTCTGGCAAAAATCAAGAATACAATTTTCTGAAAAACTCATTAAAGCACTCACCTGTCTTCCATTACACATCTCTGGGGGGCTGGATTTTAATCTTATGCTTCATTAACATAACATACTGTAACAATGAATTCAAAAGCAGATAGGAAAATGGTCTAGTTTAAAAGTCGGTTATTAATACTTCAAAAACCATAAACACCCCATGGCAAAATCTCAGTTGCTTGTTTGGCAACAACCAATAAGCTACCCTGAAATGTATATGGAAATGCAAAGGGCTCAGAATAGCTGGAATGATCTTGAAAAAGAACAGAAGACTCCCATGCCACTAACTGAAATTGACAGTACTGACATCAAGACTGTGAGGCAAAGAGAATCATGCAGATTAATGGAATGGGAATCGAAAAAGAAGTCCTTAAGTCCGTATCTGACTTCCCATTGAAGAATTCAATTAAGACAGTCTTGCAACACAGTGGGTAAGGACACTGTGCAGAAGAATAAAAACATGCCCTTCCGTGACACTAGGTAAACACTAACTTTTAACAGAGTACAGAGCTAAACGTGAGTGAGGAGTAGGCCAGCAAGTGGTCGTGTGCGTAATCACAGCACTCTGGGAGGCTGAGGCAGGACTGCAAGTCTCAGCTGAGTCAGAGCAACTCAGGCTTAGTGAGACCCTGTCTCAGAATCTGAGGAAATACAAAGGGCTGGGGATCCAGCTCAATTTGAAGGCCCTGGGTTCAATCCCAGTACAGCAAAGGAAAAGAAAGCAGCAACAGGGGCTGGGGATTTAGCTCAGCAGCATAAGCGCCTGCCTTGTAAAGCAGACAGTCGTGAGTTCGATCCCCGGTACCGATAAAAAGGAAAAAGACAAAAAAAAAAAAAAAAAAAAAAAAAAAAAAAAAAAAAAAAAAAAAAAAAAAAAAAAAAAAGAAAGCAGCAACAACAGAGTTCAAACATCTGAAAAAAAACAAAACAAAACAAAAAAAAAAAACAGTAATAAACATATAAGGCCTTGGATTAGGCAATGGTTTGCTGGGTGTGACACCAAAGCACAAGCAACAAAAAAGAGGTAAAAGAGACTTCACAATTAATTATTTCTAAGGGCATCAACAAGAAAATCAAGAGTCCAGCATACCACTGAACTACAGTGGCCCTGGGTTGGAGGCCTGCACCAAAGAGGAAAAGACAAAGACAACCCACAGATGGAAGAAATAAACTTGCAAATTACACATGAAAGTACTTCATGCCTACTAGGGCAGCTAAAACCAAAGGATAGACTATAACAAGTCTGTGGTGAGGGTGTGGGGAAAAAAAAAAATCAAACCCTTGTATTCTGCTGGTTGGAATGTAAAACAGGGCAACTGCTTTGGAAGACAGTTTGACAGTTCCTCAAAATGGAAACAGAAAAAAAAAAAAAAATGGAAACAGAGCTACTGTATGACCAAGCAATTCCACTGGGGGCGGGGATACAACCAAGAGGAATGAAAACACATCTATGTAAAAATCTGTACGGGAATGCTCATGACAGTGTTGTTCTGCAAAAAATGGATGCAACTCACGTATCTACATGATGACCCGACAAGACATGATAAACTCACATGGACTATTATTCAGTCATAAACAGGAGAGCACAGGCACAAGCTACAAAGCAGAAGCAGCCTGAAAATATTACACTGAGAGATGCCGGTCACAAATACAGCTCAACTTAAGGAAATGCCTAGAATAAGTAAACCTACAGAAACAAAGTAGATCACTGACTTCAAGGGGCTTACAAGAGAACAGGGAATGGCTGCTAATGAGTATGAGGTTTCTTTTGGGGCCATGTAGCTAAGTTTGCACAGGCAAAATCAACATGGACATCAAAGTAATTCGCACCAGAATGTCATAACCACAGTGAGCTCTGATCATTCTCTGGTAAACAATGAGACTAAAAAAAAGAATAATTTTCAGCTTCAATACAGAGTAGCCACTACAGCATCCACCAACACCCACCCTCCTTACACAATGACCACAACACTCTTAAGCACCTATAAACACAATCCCACACAGGGACAGATTTTATACATGGCAAGTATATTTTCACCTTTCAATTTCCCAACGTAACATGTCAGAAAAGGACAGGATAATTTAAACAGAACACAATTTGGTGGTATTCTACTGGGAATGACCAAATAGCTGATGACATCTTTCCCTATCAGGTATCCCAGCACTACCTCTGCATCCTGGCAGGGTAATCAATCACCCAAGTATGTTCACTGAGTTGCCTGTTCCAAGCCACACACAGCTGCTTCACTTTCTCTGATTGCGGCTCACGTTCCCCTTGTTACCCATAGGTAAGAAGCTTATATGTAATAAATAAGCTTCTGATTATGGTCTGGTGGTAAACTAGATTACCCAAGTCCTCTAAGACTCCCAGGAGGGACCCACCAGATTGAAGGCAGTTTACCAATACTACTTAACTCCATTATACTTAGTAATCTCTTACAGTAAGACTACTGGGCTCGATGAGGAACAAAAGAAAATCAAGGAAGCAGTAATCTGGCCACCACAAAAACAATGAACACAAAGCACTTCCCTAAGGTGACGTGTCCTTAAAAGCTTAACACTTCAAAGGACACAGAAAGTACTTCAGGAGGAAAAGTTGTATACCAGATTTATATTTTCCCCATTAATAGTTTCAATGTTTCCCCAAAACCCCACACAATTTAGAAGAAAACAGCCATGGCATTTTGTAGACTTAATGAAAGGCAAACTTTTAAGTTTGTGACACAAGAGTTACAATGACAAATATTGTAGTCAAACTGGTATACAATACTTACTCAACAACACTTAGGACAATTTCAGATGAGCCTGTTTCTACAATGATTTGCCAGTCAATATGACCCAGGGGCTTAGCATCACAAAATATCATAATCTAGGAATACACACACTCAAATTTCTCCTGGAGCCAGGTGGTGTGACACAGACCTGCAATTTCAGCATTTGGGAGGCTGAAGCAGGAAAATCACTGCAAATTCAAGGCTAGGCTGGGCTAAAAACTGAGTTCAAGGACAGCTTGAACTACATAGCAAGACCCTCAAAACAAACAGTAAAATCAAATTTCTCAGGGAGTAATGTAACCTTTCTCACATGTCTCTTACCTTAATCACCACTATGCCTGAAATGAGTATGGAAAAAGGAGAATGTAGAATTGTGCCACTCGGAGGGCACAGAAAATAGGTTTTAAAAGTTACTGTGTTCTCTCTCTGCAGGCTAAATTAGCACAGCATTTAACAAACAGTTTAAAATAAAAATGAAGAAAAGGTGAGAGGCTGGCTGGGTCACACCTTCAAAAGAGGATGGTGACTCTAAGGAAGACAATGGATTTCACTAGACAAAAGGAACTTCTTTACCAAACACAGTTCACAACACTTTCTCACTAAATTTATTTTAAATTTTACAAGGGGTACAGAAAGGAACTCCTAGACATTGTCTTGGTTGAAATCTGGTGGCCCAAGTACTTGTCACCTTTACCTGGATCTAGTTTAGGGCCTTTAGCCAGCCTAGAGCAAGGCTTGGTCCTCGCCCAAATGGAGAGGTGGAAATAGGAGAACAGAGAAGCAACAGCACGGTGACCCCCAATAAAGGCTGAATTTGGGAAGTGGACTGGTAGGAACATTAAAAGGCTCCATTCGAGGCACAGTTACTTCAAGGACCCAGCTGTTAAGGCTGTCATCTACAATCTCCCCCTTCCGCTCTAACTTCGTATCACACTACACAGGAGTCACGTCCCTCCAAGCCTCGCCCTCCACTGATGCCCCGACATTCCGCAGCACCCGGGGGAGCCACGGAAAAGGATGAGTAAGCACGCGCGGGCCGGTCAAGGAGCACAGACCCTGGCACGGGCCGTGGAAAAGCAGAGCTGAGCGCGTGCTGAGGAGTCCGTCCAACGGGCGGCGGCAGCTTCAAGCCTTCTTCAGCAGCTACTGTCGCCCTCGCTCCGCAATCCCCGGGGCCAACTCCCGCCCATCCCCTGGTAGAGCGCACCCATGCTTTAAATACTTCTCGAAAACAGTACAAAACCACGAACGTGACTTCTCCCGGCTTCTGCTGATAAAAGATACTAAAGCCTCACACAGGTGCAGCGTTAAGTTCAAGTCTGTTTCCTCCCGGACTGCACAGAAAACTCCTTTTCTGACACCTTGTCGCCCCCACACTCATCTCTAATCTGCAAAAAGTCGACTGCTAGTTACAGTTTCAAGTGTAGGTTAACTATTTGGGAGGAAAAAAAAGAAAAGACTTCTGAATTACTTGAACAGCCTCGTTCCAAGTACCTGACCTTATTTCCTCCCGGAGAAATAGGGCACCGGGCAATCAGAAATGTCTTTTCCTCTCCCTTCCTATTTTGGCCGCCGGGCAGTACTCGAGGCGGTTTCAAAAGTCTAGGGGGGCTGGGGCTGGGGCTGTCCTAGGCTTCACAGGCAGGAAACTTGCCCTCTTTGCCCGGTGCTTTTTGCAGCCCCCCGTGGTCTAAAAGGGCTGGACTTCGCCCACAACGAACGCGCACCGGATGCCGCCGGGGCTTTGCTGGGTTCCCGCGGACTTTACAACACGCAGAGAGAGATGGGTCGCGGGCGCCGACCACGCGGGGACAGGTGCAGCCCCGGCCGCCCGCCGCCGCGCTCAGACCGCCGCCCGCCGCGCCCGCCCGGGGCCGCCGCCTCCGCGCAAGATGGTGGTTACGAAACTCGCTCGCCCGCCCGCCACATGGCCGCCCCGGCTCCCAACTTCACAGGCCCGCCGCGTCCAGTCGCCCAGGCGAGGCCCCGACCCCAGCGGCGCCCGGAGGCCGCGCCGTGCCGCCCTACTCACCCACAGACCGGTAGCCAAGGATCGCGATCTTCCGGGACTTGGACTGCGGCATCTTGGCGACCTCCTCAGCCCCGGCCCAACCACATCAACCGCGGCGACGGCGGCTGCTGCTGCTGCGATCGGCGGCGGCCGCGCCGGGGCACAGCCGCATACAGAACAGGGGAGGCGGCAGCGGGCGCGGCTACCCTCGCTCCCTCGCTGGCTCGCGCGCCCAACCGCCCGGAACCGACCGCGCGGCCGTGCCCCTCCCCCCACAACACGCCCACGTGACCCCGCGCAGCTGCCCCAGGTTTCCGTCAGCCCCGCCCCTCCCGCTGCCGCGGCCGACCCCAAGAAACGCGTGCGGCAGGGACGAGAGTGCGTCGAGGACACGTTTTACTTTAAAGGATAAAAGAGGGGCTGCGAAGTTGCCCCCGGAAAAGTCACGACAGAAACCCGCTGCGTCATGACCCTCCCACCTCCTTCCGCCGCTTTCTAATGACGCATATCCTTCCCGAGCGCTGATTGGATAGTTCTCACCTGCCCGCGCGGTGACAAAACGGAAACTCCGTCTCCTATTGGGAGCAACGAAGAGGAGGAGCCAGGAGTCGGCGGCCCGCTAGGGGAGCTAAAAATATATCCCGGCTGCATTAGAGCCGCTGGGCGCCAGCGAGGTTGGAGGGCCTCTGGCTGCCTGAGGTGGGGGCGGGCGGCAGAGGCGGAGATAGCTGCCCTGTGATTGGTCGGAGGGGGGTGAGGGGCGGGGCAAGCGGCGGGATGATTGGCGGGACGCCGAGCGGTTGGCGGATTCGCGCCCTCCGAGCCCTTAAAAGGCGCCAGGCGCGTGGCTGTTGTGTGCTTGCTGTGGGTTGGGTGGAAACGCCTTCTGGCCTTTTGTGTTTTTTAATTATGGTCCTGCTGTTTTAGCATTAGTCAGTCTGGGTTTGATGTAGGTGGTGACTAAGCGTCATCCATTGCTGAAGGGCCGTGGGAAGAATGGAATCAGTTTTCATTTAAAATGTCAAGAATTTGGGTGGGGCATCGTGGCTCACTCCTGTTATTCCAGCACTTGGGAGGCTGAGGCAGGGCAATCGCTGCGAGTTCGAGGCCAGCCTGAAACACATAACGAGACCGGCTCAAAAAAGAAAATGTTATGCTTCTTTTGTGGGTTTGGATATCCTCTTCCACAGTAGTTACTGAATTCGTAGTACTCACTTCCCTGGTGGATTATAAAATCGGTTTAGGGGGTGCTACTTTCCAAAAAGTAGAACAGAAGAAACAGCCAAGCCTGGTGGTGCATCCCTGTTAACCCAGCACTCAGGAGGGTGAAAAGCAGGATCACCCTGAGTTTGAGGCCACCCTGGGCTATACAGTGAGTTCAAATCTAGCCTGAACTACACATAATGAGCCATGTCTCAGAGAAAAACAAAAAACAAGAGGGGCAGCAACTTGCTTTTGTATCTAAAGTATCTCTGCTGGTTAATATGAGTCCTTCACCGATTAAGCAACTGGACAGGCAACATCCCCAAGGGTTCTGCTAAATCGGGTTGCTCTGTTCTGTGGCATGTACTTGCTGCCTTCTTCCAATGTGTCCTTCCACTTTTTGTCTCTGTTTTTTGAAATAAAGCCTCATCGTGTATTTCAGGCTGGCCTTGAACTCATGGCAGTCCTCCTGCCTCAGCCTCCAGAGTGCTAGAATTACAGGTGGGTGATACCACACCCAATGTTCTAATTCTTCCCTTTTCCCTTTGAGCTAAGAGCTCCAGGTCTTTCATCTGAATTCCTAGGGAGACATAATTGGTTCAGTTAATTACCAGTGACCCTTGGGAGAGGACCTCCTGCTACCCCTGTGCCTTACTTAAAATTTAATCTGTGTGATATCATGGAATTTTTATTAGCTCTCTATGAGCATTTCCAAGTTCAAAGACCTTGGATTTGCATTTGCAACATAGTTTTTCTAATTCCCAGAGATAACATACAAACCTTTTTTCCTCTCTTGTGTTAAAAGTTTAAGAACTCTGCTGTGTTTTACCAAAAGGACATTTGTGAAATTATTTTGCATGGGAAAAAGACTTGCCCTCATTAAAGGAAATAGGAAAATTTTGTTGTTTTGTTTTAAAACAAAATATTTTGTTTTTTCTTGAGACAGGGTCGCGCTGTGTAATTCAGGCTCACATTCAGCATGGCCTTGGATTTGAGGTGATTTTTCCTCCTCAGCCTCCAAATGCATGGTGTACCACCATGCTAGGTGTTTAAAAATATTTAATGAGGGTAGACTGCAGAGGAATTAGACTTATTTCTGTCGTGGATAAGCCAAAGCAGGCAGGTTTGTTATATCCGGCAAAAAGGGGTTCAAAGTCAGAGAGGGTTGCAGTGGTAGCTTAGCAAGGACATAAGAGGCCAGGGTTGAGGCTGCATTGTGGTCATAAATTGTCCTCAACCTCTGTGGATCAGGATGAAACCTTACCTGGACCTCTGGCTGCTGCAGATTAGTTAAGATGAGGTCACAAGTGTCAGGGCCAGTATGACTGGGGACCTCACAGAAAGAGATGGTTGTGTGACAGATTGGAGCAAAACTACCTACCAGTGAGGCAGCTCCTGGGGCCACTGGAAACAGGAAGAAGCAAGAAGTATGTCCGTTTTGAGCCTCCATAGGGAGCAGGTCTCTGAGGATGCCTTGAGTTCAGACTTTCAGACACTATAACTAAGAGATGATAAACTTCTTGTGTTGAGCCACTGGTTTGTAGTGTTTCTTAAACAGCAACAGGAAATGGGTACAACAGCTGTCCTCAGATTGTGAACAAAAATTTGGTAAGAGGCAGGCACAGTGGCAAATGCCTTTAATCTCAGCACTTTGTAAGACTGAGGCAGGACAAGTAAAACTGGAGGCCAGCCTGAGGTATTTAATGACTTAGCCAATGTAAAAATAAAAGTTTAAAGCCAGAGGTAGTAGTACATTCCTGCAATTCCAATACTCAGAAGGCTGAGACAGAAAGATCTCTGCAACTTTGGAGTTTAGGTTACACAGTGAATTCAAGGCCAGTCTGAATTACATAGAGACCTTGTCTCAAACCAACAATGACAACAATAGCAACATTCCCCCACAAAACTAAAGACAGGACAAATTATTCAGCCATTGCCAAGCATGGTGGCACATACCTATAATCCTAGTACTCGGGAGACTGAGGTAGGATTGCTGCCAGTTCAAGGCCACCCAGGGCTACACAGCGAGACCCTCCCCCAAATACGCAATCACTGAACACCAAGTCTTGAAATAAACTAAATGCAGAATAGTCAGTGGCAGCAGCAACAAGGATTTTATGGGGGTGGGTGGGGGAGCGATGGGGGAGCTATCAGCAGTTTATTTTTGGTCAGGACATGTTTGAGATTCCTGTTTGAAATCCAAGCGGAGATGCCAAGTAGACTGTGGGGTGTATGAGTCAGGAATTTAGAAGAGATCTGGCTGGAGAAATCCCAGCATTTGGGACTTGTCAGCAAGGAGAGATTGGAGTTGGAAGTATGCCTGGCCAGGGTCGCTGGGGGACAGGCTAGAGATTGTGGGAGGAGCTACGGGAAAGGGAACCAGGCTGGCCGAGTGGGGTGGGGGCGCTGGTAAGAAAGATGTCTGGAGAGAGGGTCCCTGCACAAGGGGCAGCCGTGCGTCTGATTCTGATTTGTCTTATGCTGTCTGCGGGGGCCGGGAAGCGGTGACTGAGAAGGCTGAGGTCACTAGGATCCTGGCTCAGCTCTTGCTGGGTTGCTGAGGCCCAGGACAAACAAACTGGGATTCTGATGCAGACAAGGGACAGAAACCTGCACACGCTGGTGGCTTTTTGTAGGTTTGGTATAAATAAGGTAGATGACAAAAACAGAAAGTGCCTGGTGTCAAATGTGGAGTCAAACATTTTTTTAAAGGTAGCATATTCAAATAATGGGATATTTTGGAAAGGAAATTTGGGGGAACAAATAATTGGGTTCCAAATAATCCATGTGCCAAGTGGTTTACATTTTACCATTATTGAGTGAATTTTGGTCAGATTCTGTCACTTTTAAGGCTATACAAAGGAGAGCAAGGCAGGCACGAGGATGAATACATGTAATCCCAGCAAGTGGGAAGACTGAGAGAGGAGGATCACAAGTTCAAAGCAAGCCTGGACATTTAGCAAGGCCTCATGTCAAAATAAAAAAGGGCTGGCGATGTATTTTCCCAGCATGTAGAAAGCCCTGGGTTCAATACACAGTACAGGAAACCAAGAAAAAAAGGAATAACTGTTGAAGTCCTGATAGCAACCAGGTAAGGAGACAGATGCTTATAATCCTAGCATTCAGAAGGCTGAGGCAGGAGGATCACCGAGAGTTCAAGGCCAGCCTGGATTACATAGAGACCTTGTCTCAAAAAGCCAGAAATAAAATAAATAAATAAATAAAAATTTAAAAAGTAGGGGCTGGGGATTTAGCTCAGTGGCCTAAGCACCTGCCTGACAAGCGTGAGGTTGTGAGTTGATCCCTGGTACCAAAAAAACAAAACAAAACAAAACAAAATTTTTAAAGTAGCTTAGTATATAGCAATGTGAGGGCTCTGGGTTCAATCCCCAGTACTGAAAAAAAAATACAAAAAAAAAAAAAAAAAAAAGAAGTGTCCTTTTGCGACTGCAGCATATGAGAGGATCATGGTTACAAAGTTTCTACTTAATTTTGATCTTACCTTGTTCTCAGATGCTTGCTTTTTCCGAATTCTTTCATAGCAGTTGTGCCAGGTCTTGTTGCTTGTTCTTTTAATGTGGTTTTGTTAAAGGTTTCAACTTGCCTTTGATGGTGATAGAGGCAAGGTTAGCTATATAAACCTTCTGAAATGAATGCAGGGGCCAGAGAAATAGCTAAGTGGCACAGTGCCTGCCTGGCAAACCTTATGTAGTTGTAAATTCAATCCCTGGTACCCCCCACCCTGAAAACAAAGAAACAAATGCAGAGCAAACAAAACTAACTTGAAAGACCCATCAAGTGCCTTTTTAATTCTAGTGAATTCTGTGGCCAAGGCCTGCGTCACAGGAAACTCACAAAACAGGTTGGACAAGGTGAAGGTGAAGACATGCTAAGGCAACAAAACTCACCGAAGGAGCTAACGGGCCTGAAGAGGAAACATAAGCCTGCCACGAGGGTTATAAATTCAAGATTAATGCAAGCATAAAGTTAGCCAGCTAAGCCGGGCGGCTAAAGTGGCTTGCGCCTGTAATCCCAGCACTCGGGAGGCTGAGGCAGGAGGATCTGTGCGAGTTCAAGACCAGCCTGGGTTACAAAGTGAGCCCAAGGCCAGCCTGAACTGCATAGAGACCCTGTCTCAAAGAGACCAAAAAAAAAAAAAAACAAAAACAAAAAAAACAGCTGCTGTGGCATGCATATCTCTGTAGTTCAGGTTGGCCTTGAACTCACTATGTAGCCCAGGCTGGCCTTGAACTTAGGGATACTCCTAAGTTCAGAGTGCTGGGATTTGTAGGCATGCATCACCACTCTCAGCTTGAGATACAGAAATTGAGTAGTAACTGGCCAGCTAATATTAGACTCCAGTCATTAAATCAGCGTGCTGGGCTCGTATTGAGTTTTAGCTCCAGTCTTTTCAGGCAGATCAATGTAAAGAAGCATTTGCTGGTTAATGGCAGAGTGTTTTCCGGGGTAATGCACTGAAGGCTTTTCGCACCCAAGGACCATTCTGGAGGCTTTTTTCTGCATGTTGTCTTGCTCTGCGTCCTCACTGATCAGGCCCTGCAACAGAATGGGTTGCCGGCATGTCACTGAGTCCCCAGGCCCAGGGCACATGGGCCAGTAGGGTGTGGCGATGGCTCAGGCAGGCAGAGCCTCTGGGGATGGCAGAGAAGCCACTGAGGATGCAGGGGTCTGGAGGCCGCGGCGGTGCAGCGATGTTGGAGCCGTGTCACTTGCTGGGCCCGGAGGTGGCAGAACAGGACCAGGAGGGGGCGTCCCCTCTCCAGTTTGTGGGGCCTCCCAAGGGCTTGGATTACAGGCATTTGCCACGGTGTCTGGCTTTTATGCCATTTTTCTTTAGCTAATATGAATTTATTGCTGCATAATTCTGAATGTAGTTTTCTATCATATGATCGTATCATAATCATGATAATAAATTTATGGGATTTTTATTTGGTTCTAAGAGCTTTGTATGCATCACCTTGGCTGGCCCTCACCCTGTGTCCTGAGAGAATAGGTGTGATGTCGTATCTCAATTTATGAGTGGAAACAGCATTAGGGGTAGCAACTTACCCCAGTTGCTCATTTACTGCCTGACTAGCAGTTCTGACAGACCTCAGGGCACATGCTTTTACACTTCCTGCAGACGAGCAACTCGTGGTTCCCAGAAAGCCCGTCAGTCAGATGTCACCTGTCATCCTAGTACTTGGGAGGCTGAGGTAAGAAGGTGGCCACCCGGGCAAGATTTAATTTAAAAAGCCCATGCCAATCATTATTCTGGTATAAATATAATTGTTTATTAACCCGGATGAATATTTAAATTTCAGAAATAAAAGCAATAAATGTTGAACATTTCCTGCTAACACTTAATAAGCTCAAGCAATGATTTGCACTAATTCTGTTCTCTGTCTCCTGGCGTCACATCGTCTCCCATGGGGATGGGGACAGGACAGGGAAGGGACAGGGCATGTCCTTTGGAAGTTGCTGTGTTTCCCAGGTCCTGGGGCTGCTCCCCCAAGCAGCCAAATGACACAGGCTGTCCTCTGGGGTCTCCAGGGTGTTGCCCTTGGATTGCAGCCTGCCCTGAAAGCATCCTGGCTGTTGGCGCCTCAGTGCCCTGTGTTCCTTCAAAGCCAACCCGGGTGACCCTGCAGCCCACGGCATGGAGGTCAAGAGCAGCAGTGAATTCCCAGTCAGCCTCACGGGATCTCTGACACTTTAGCCCTCCTGTGCTGCTGTCCAGTCCCCTTTAGGTGACTGTGTGTGTAACAGGATTTGCTGGTAGCCCAGAAGCAGCCGGGAGGGTTGCGGAGGAGCCCAGTTCCCAAGGACCTGGCCACATGCAAGAGAATGGAGGTGTGTCAGCCCATCTGATCATAGCTGGGGGAAGCTGAGTCAGGAGGATCGCTGTGAGTCTGAGCCCACCCTGGGCTACATACTGGGATCCTGTTTCAAAGAAACCAAATCATAAAAAGGGAAAAAAAAAAAAAAAGTCTTCAAATGCAAGCACCGGTGCCCTGAGCGAATGGAGAGCTTTCCGGGGGGGACAGAACGTCCGTTTCTGCATTTTCAGTAAACGCACATGTGCCACCCTAGGTGGGTCTCCTGGGGACATCTTGAGTTCCCTGTGTCCTCTCAGGCTGCCCGCCCGGCCCCAAGTACTCCCAGGGGGCTTTGTCTGGTGTCCAGAACACAGGGGCACCAAGGAAGGGGTCAGCCTGCCCTTTCCTGAATGCGGGAGTCCCTCGATCTAACACCTCCACCCTGCTCTCACGCTCACCTTCCTTACACTTCCTGCCTTGCTGCTGCTCCAGCCAGTGGCAGCCTGGTGCTAAGGTAGAGGTGGCTGGGCCTGAGGTGAGTGGTCAGAATTCAGACCCAGGGCAGGGGAGCAGGAGCATCTGTTTTTACCCATTCCCTTACTCCATCTAAGGGCTGTGATCAGTACCTCTCAGTTCTGAGGAAGAGTTTCAGCCAGGTGTAGTGACAGGTGCCTGTAATCCCACCACCTGGGAGGCTGAGGCAGGAGCAGCTCTGGGAGTTTGAGGCCTGCCTGGGTTATACGGTGAGTTCAAGGCCAGCCTGAGCTGTGTAACAAGACCTTGTCTCAAAAAAAAGTAATCAGAACATAATTCCTTTCTCAGTACTTGGATGTCTTGGGAGTCAGAACTTTTGCAGTAAGGCTTAAATTGGTTCTAGGGTACAAAGTAAAACCAGTAAAGCTTAATGGAACAACAAAGAGAAATCAAAATCATATGGGGTATTTTAGTGCCTTTTTCTTAGTTGTTGTTGGATCACTTTTTTTTTTTTTTTTTTTTTTTTTTTGTCTTTTTGAGACAGGGTCTCACAATGCAGCTGAGTCTGGCTTTGAGCTCACTTTGTAACCCAGGCTGGTCTCTAACTGAACTTGCACAATACTCCTGCCTCAGCCTCCCAAATGCTGGGATTATAGGCATGAGCCACCATACCCAGTGGTAGATTACTTTTTAAAAATTAGTAAGGATAAGAAAGAGTTGAAGAGCAAACGTAAGAAACTTGTTTAATGCCACTTAGAGAACACTGCGCCAGACAGACTGAGTCTGAATTCTTTGCAAGCAGATATAAAAGATTCATAAAAATTGACCACATAATAGGCCAGAAAGAAAATCTCAACAAATTTCCAAGAACTTCCTACATTGACCATATTCTCCAACTGCATGCAATGCAGTTAGAAATCAATATCAAGGACACAGAGAACTCCATATTGGTGGAAAATAGAAAATTTACTTTTACATAATTCATAGCTTAAAGGAAATACAGAGAAATTGAAATATTAGACCGGAATAGTAGTAAGAATGCTACAAAAAAGCACCGCCAGTCAAGATTCACAGGATATAAATGCTTACATCAAAAGGGAAAAAATTACTGACTGCTAATGAGCATAGGGACCAATTCAAGTAGTCAAATGGGAGCAGAATAAACGCAGCCAGGTGTGATGGTGCATGCCCGTAATTGCAGCACTCAGGAGGCTGAGGCAGTAAGTGTAAGGTCTGCCTGGACTACAGAGTGAGACAAGAGGACAGACCCATTCTTTCCCCGTGATAATTTGCAAGTAGATGAAAACATACACTGTTCTTTTTTAAAAAATGTTTGAGCTGGACATGGTGGCACACATCTATAACCCCAGCCCTCAGGAGGATGAGGCAGGAGGATGGCCGTGAGTTTGGGGCCAGCCTGGACTTCACACCCTGTCTCAAATACACACACACACATACACACACACACACACACACACACACACACACACACACCTGTTACAGTGTGTCTGTGGCTTCTGAAGCTAGGCTCACGGTCCTGCTCAGCAGGGCTAGGGGTCCCTTCTTTTCTGTCATCCTGGCCCCACTGCATTGCATTCTGTGTGTATAGTCTGTGTCCTCACCCCCGTGTCTGGAAGTATCATCTGTGTGAAGGACTCTGCAGCATGGAGAGAATATTGTGGGTGGGGGGCACTCATGACCTCAGCAGACAATGACCCTTGCCAAGTCTCAGACCTGAGTCAACAGCACTGGGCACCTGCAGGCCAGAGACTGCCAGGTGAGAGCAGACGATGAGGAGGGCACAGTTTCCACTCACACACCACTGGCTGTACGACCTCACGCTTGCCAGGCAGGTGCTTATGCCGCTGAGCTAAATCCCCAGCCTGGGTTGGAATTTTCAATCCTCCGGTCTCTGCCTCCTAGAGTGCTGGCATTATGGTGTGTGCATCCACACCCAGTGACATGTGGTGCATCTTGTGTCACAAAGCCATGATGTCACCACAGCTACCTCATTTTGAGGTGACAGAAGTCTGTGACTCCGTTGCAACCTTGCAGCGCCACAGCTGTCCCTGGGGTCTCCTGGGTGTGGGGCTGCTACTCGGTGCATGATGGCATGCTGTACAGAAAAGTGGGATGGATGGGGCTGGGGATTTAGCTCAGTGGCATAAGTACCTGCCTTGTAAGCAGGTGGATGTGAGTTCAATCCCCGGTACCAATAAAAAAAAGAAAAAATAAATAAAGTGGGATGGAGTCAGATGGAAGACGCTTGGCACTGAGGAACGTGCCAAGTTTTGCTCAGGCCAGTAAAATGCTGGAATCTGTTTCAAGTCATCAGCCCTGTCTCGGGATTAGTAAAACATTTGCGTGTGTTATTAGCAGGAAATAGGAAACACTAGCAGAAAGCCCTAAGGTTGCTCACAGGACTTCCTATGTTGGTTACACACTGTCTTGTCACCCACTGCTAGGCAGGTTTGGGTTAGGGAAGTAACCGGGGGTTCTCTATAATAGGAAGGTCATGGCTAGAG